GGGCCGCCTCCCCTTTAGCAAAGCCTCCAGGTCAGTCACCGTTTGCGCCCTTTCCTCAGAAGGAAGAGCACCTCCATGCTTCGCGTCGCTGACTGCGGCCTCGGGTGTCCGGTCCCCGCAGCCGGCACTCCGGTCGGGTACGGGGCGCCCTCCGTGGATTTTTCCCCCGGGGTGTTGGTGATTGAGTTTGGTAAGTTGCGTTCCGGGGGAGAGAGGAACCTTTCCCGGTGGCTGGGTGCCCGCGGGTGAATGAAAGACTGTGACTCGCGCGCTGACCGCGGGGAACGGCGGCTGTCTCCTCGGGTCTCGATTGGGCTCCTCCTCGCAGAGCCCTGCAACCCCCAGCGCTGAGCGGGGCGTCTCCAGGAGAATAGCTGGTGCGCGCTGACTTCGCTGCGAGCAAAAGTCGAGGTGTAACCAGCCCTGAGTTCGGTGGTTTGGACGGGCGGGTGGTTCTCATTTAGAAATTCCCATCAGGAGGAAATCTGCCTGCAGCGGCAGGTGCACTGACGGTTACGATGTGTCTCGCTTGTCACTCAGGATGTAGATGCTTGTGATGATGAGCCAGTGAGGGGCAAATTGCAAACACTCACTTCACCCCTTAAACATGCGCCTCCTAAGAACGAGGACTGTCTCCTTCCAAAACAGAACGAAACTCCATTGTCCACCCGAGAAAATCAGATTCCTCCAGTTTCCCAGAAAAGTATCTATGAGAGAAGAATCGGGGTTTTTTGGAGCTAGCATCGATCCGAACAAGACCACACGTTGCATGTTGTTTTCCAATCTCTTTATTACGCCCAAAACATTTCCCTGCATTTCTTAAAATTTAATTTTGATTGTTGAAGATTCCAGGAGAGCTATACAGGGGTTGTCAAAAGTAGGCTTACAGCTGTCCGCGGCGTTCTTTTGAGTCAATAAAGCTGTTGTAATAATCATAACATTCACGTCTCTTTCCGTGCTGAAACTGTAAAGCTATTTTTGCCCACCCCTGTATTGTAAGATGTCTGCGTTCTGATGCAGTGCTGTTTCCTGTGATTTTGTTTGACTTGTCTGCCTCTTGGAGTTCTTGTGAAGTACATGTCCGATCCGGAGCAGTATTCTGTAATACAAATACAATGCAAGGTATACATGTAATTTAAAAAAATGTTTACAAGCCAAGTTAGAAAAATTAAAAATACATGTGACTTTATTTTCAATAATTTATTTAACCCAGCATACCCAGTTATCAATAGAAAATGATTAGTGAAATTAATAACTAATGTAGTCAATATAAAAGTATTAATAGAACTTTTATTTATTTTTAAATGTTTTTATTGATTTGAGAGAGGGGAAGGGGGAGGGATGGAGAGAGAGAAATATTGATGAGAGAGAAGCCGCGATGAGCTGCCTCCTGTGCGCCCCCGCCTGGGGATCAAGCCCAAAACCCAGGCATGTGCCCTGACTGGGAATCCAACCGGTGACCCCTCGGTTGGTGACCTCTTGGTTGGTGGGTGGATGCTCAACCAGCAGAGCTAATAGAGCTTTTAAGAACTTTCACATTTCTTTTTTACTAACTGATTGAAATCTAGCATGTATTTTACATTTACAGCACATCTCATGTGGATGCTAAATTTTCATTGGAAATTCTTGATCTGTATTTAGATTTTATAAAACTTACTGTTGAAAAAAGTAAATTTACAAACTCAGATGTCTCAGACATACTGAAAAGTTTTTTAGTAACGGAATCAATTTTATTTCTAAACGGAATTAAAAGTGAATAAAGTTAAAAATTCAGTTCCTCAGTTGCATTAGCCTGTGGCTATCAAGTTGTACTACACCCGTTTAGAGACTTGAAAGTTTCCTGGGTGATGTGTGCTTCATCTCATTGGGAGACACTTAAATTCACTTAAATCCCGCTGTTTATTAGTGATGCTAAGCCACATTTTTCCTTGTGGTAATCTGTGGGTGACACTTTGTTCCCCAAAGCCTTTTACCCAGTGGTTTTAGCATCAGTTGTTGATTTTTGCCTTAACCTGTTTTTATTTTTTTATCCTATTTTTATATTAGGGGATACAAATGTGTTTTTTTCAAATTCTGTCATTCCTTCTTCATTCTTTAGCTGGCAGTCCTCTGTGAATAGGAGCTTTCCTTCCAACCCTCCCTTTTTCTTTTGTAGTATCACAACATATTCTTGGACTTTCATTTACTTATTACAGTCAATAGTTGCCAACCTAGGAATCTCACCTGATGTACGTCTGGTCAATTGGGCTGCTGTAACAAAAATGTGGTAGACTTGGTGGCTTATAAACAACACATTTCTTACCATTCTAGAGGCTGGGAAAACCAAGATCAACGTGTCAGCAGATTTAGTGTCTGGTGAGGACCCACTTTGTGGTTAATAGATGGCTGTCTTCTCGTTGTGTCCTCACATGGCATAAGGGGCAAGGGAGTTCTCTGGGATCTCTTTTATAAGGGCAGTAATCCCACTAATCATGACCTCAAGGCCCTACCTCCAAATACCATCACACTGGAGATTAGGTTTCAATATATGAATTGGGGAAGGGGGTTGAGACACAAACATTTAACATTTAGTCTATAGCACCTAACTTTTGGTGTTTAGGTTTTTAATGGGATCTGCAATATAGGCATGCAGCACCCCCATGACTGACATTAGCCACTCAATTCAAAATTATACAACATTGTCCAGAGCCTCAGATCTTTATGACAGAGTAATATGTATTCAATCTCTAGCTCACCACTTCCTAATTGGTCATCTTAGGCTAATTACTACTTCTGTCTGAATAAGGTTGCCTCAACTATTCAATGGTGGTAATCGGATAAGTTATCAATGTTTCTGGCACACGTTGGGTACTCTGTAAATTGCAATTATTATTTATGTTCAGGTGGTGTAGTATGGAGTTTCTTATGGCTTTCACATATAACATTTTATTTTCTGCTTGATGACAGATGACTAATGCCTTCTGCCTAAAGATTGAAAGTATGAGGCAAGACTTCCCATTACTACTTAATCAAGAGGAATTGAGTTTGAAACATACTCTCTTAAAGAGACGTTGGGAACAAGAAATGTTCAGGCAGGTTCCTCTGTCAGACTCACAGGATGCTGGCCGTTGATCTTTCTCCTTGTGGTAAGTCTTTGATGGGCCCTGCTCTGTGCGTGACGGGGTGGCGCCGCAACCTCCCCATCGACCCTGCCTTGAGTGTGACAGGGGGCGGTGCCCCAACCCCCCAATCGGCCCTACCCTGAGCGTGACTGAGGGTGGCATCGCAACCTCCCAATCTGCCCTGCTCTGTGCATGACAGGGGAAGGCGCCCCACCTCCCCAATCGGGCCTGCTCTGAGCCCGACCAGGGGCTGCACCTAGGGATTGGGCCTGCCCTCTGCCACCTGGGAGCAGGCCTAAGCCAGCAGGTCGTTATCTCCCGAGAGGTCCCAGACTGCGAGAGGGCACAGGCCGGTCTGAGGGACCCCTCCTTCCCCCGAATGCACAAATTTTTGTGCACCGGGCCTCTAGTCTATATATATATAAAAGCCTAAGTGACCATTACGACCGGTTAACCAAGTTACCGGTCGCTATGACATGCACCGCCCACCAGGGGGCAGACGCTCAATGCAGGAGCTGCCCCCTGGTGGTTAGTGCACTCCCACAGCCATCCTCCCCCGGCTGGCCAACCTCCTGTGGTCCTCCCCAACCCAGCTGGCCCCCACTGGCCCCGATCAGGACTGGGTGAGACAGCCCTTATTGGCCCAATCACTGGCCAGACTAAGGGACCCCATCCATGCATGAATTCGTGCACCAGGCCTCTAGTATTTTTATAAGAGAGGTTCTGCTTAATCATTTGATGAGTTTTATCATTGTTGGCAAACAACTCTGCCTCCCTGGATTTTAATTTCTCTATTTGTAAAATGGGATTATTAAATTCTTCCTCTTATTTATTAAATCCAAAACTACTTTTCTGATTTCAGATAAGATGGGCTGCTTGGGCATTTTATGGGAGCTATATGTATATGTGTATGTGTCTGTCTATCCATCCATCCAAATGTGTATGTGTGTGTCCATCCATTTAGAATTAGTGTGAAATGGTGCTTCCAGGTTTGTGAATGTGGAAACTAGGCAATCTAAGTTTGTTTGTTTTTATATTTTTGCTGATTTTTTTAGAAAAAGAGGAAGGGAGAGGGATAGAAGATAGAAACATTGATGAGAGAGAAACATCAATCGGGGGGCAGCCTAAGTTTTCAGATTTCATTTCTTCTCAAGGTTGTCTTTTTTCAGACTTTTTCTGTCTTCATGAAGAGAAGCCCAAGGGGGGAAAGATTATCACTGGATGCCTGATACATTATTCTCAGGTAAATAGGAAATGTATTCCTTTATTAAAACACATACTTCTTCCTACTAGGTAGACATGTTTCCTTCTAGTGGGATGGAGCTTCTTTTTAAAAATATATATTTTTTTATTGATTTCAGGATAGAAGAGAGATGGGGAGAGAGAGAGAAATATTAATGATGAGAGAGAATCATTGATTGGCTGCCTACTGCACGCCCCCTAATAGGGATCAAGCCTGTAACCTGAGCATGTGCCCTTGACTGGAATCGAACCCAGGACCCTTCAGTCCACAGGCCAACGCTCTATCCACCCAGTCAAACCAGCTAGGGCTAGAATGGAGCTTCTTAATACAAATAGGACCTGCTTAGGGACTGAGTCCCCAGTTTAATTTTCTCAGGTCTCAAGGCTTCTCATGTGGTTGACAGATTACATAGGGAAATGATACTGTTATCCCAGTATTTACTGGTTTAGTCTGATTCTGTGCTCTAAGTGTGTGCTCTAATTTTGTTAGGATACACAGAGAGTGGACATGCCTACTCAGAATTTGTGATTCTGAGGACACACAAAGGAAAGATGTATGTTCAGGATTATGCTAAATCCTGTCAATAGAGAAAAATAAGACCAGAAGGGGTCACAGTCTAGTCGTGGGAGATAATTACATTCATTCAGGTGAAAGAAATGCTCTTAAAGCTGTGTGACTGAATGAGATTACTAGTGAATATGTCCAAGTAGAGAGAAGGGGTATGACGACCATTGAGCCGTGGGGGAGATGATGATGAGAGAACATGGAACCCTGTCAGGCATAGGGTCTCCTTCTTTCTCCAGTGAATATTGATCGAGGCAATTGCCTGATGCTAGAACATTTGTGACAGTGACCTTTGAGGATGTAGCTGTGGAATTCAACCAGGAGGAATGGACTTTGCTAGTTTAAACTCAGAGAAATCTATACAGAGATGTGGTGCTGGGGAACTATGAGAATCTGGTTGCAGTAGGTAGGACTGGTACCATTTCTTCATTTAAATTTTTTCTGGAACAAATATTTCTTAAGTGACTATTACAGGCACTCTGCTGATTAATGGGAATGCCCTGGTAGACAGAGAAGACATTGTTTCTGCTCTTATAGACCTTACTCTCAAGCAGCTTTCTCTTGAAAATGAAGATCTGTTCATTGTACTAGTTTTATTTTCTCTATGGATAAAAGGCTTAAGACCTCAAAAATGTATATACAAGTTTGAACCTGGATTTCAGGGTAAATACCAGCAACCCTCTTTAAGTATATTGAGAGAGAGAGAGTATGTGTTTGCTTTTGAAAGTTTTAGTTTCATTTGGAAGTTTACTGGTATGGTAGAGTTACATGAAAATTTTGTTGTTTCTCAAGTTATACCCAACAGTATTTGATATCCCTGAAGAGCAGAATCTTGGCCCATGATTTATGAAGGTATTTGATATCCCTTTCCATGTTCTTAACATGAAGGATCTTTCAGTGAGAGGAAGACATCAACTATGCACACCTGGTCTGATCTTTCAGATGGAATAAAGAGAAGTGCTGAAGACAGTGGGGAAAAGTTCTCCAAAGTGAGGGAAAAGGTATATGTGATTCTTTTTTTTTAATCTTTATTGTTAAAAGTATTACATATGCCCCCCTTTTTCCCCTATTGACCTCTTCTAGCCCGCCCCCGACCCCAGCCCCAGGCCTTCAGCACCCTATTGTCTGTGTCCATGGGTTATGCATATATGCATACAAGTTCTTTGGTTGATCTCTTCACACACACACACACCCTCCCTGCCTTCCCTCTGAGATTTGACAGTCTGTTCCATCCTTCTGTGTCTCTGAATCTATTTTGTTCATCAGTTTATTTTGTTCACTGGATTCCACTTTTGAGTGAGATCATATAATACTTATCTTTCTCTGACTGGCTTATTTCACTTAGCATAATACTCTCCAGGTCCATCCATGCTGTTTCAAATGTTAAGAGTTCTTACTTTTTTACAGCTGCATAGTATTCCATTGTGTAAATGTACCACAACTTTTTTATCCACTCATCTGTTGATAGACACTTAGGCTGTTTCCAAATCTTATCTACTGTAAATTGGGCTGCTATGAACATAGGGGTACATATATCCTTTCTGATTGGTGTTTCTGGTCTTAGGAAATATTCCTATCAGTGAGGTCTCCGGGTCAAATGGGCATTCCATGTTTAATTTTTTGAGGAAACTCTATATTGTTTTCCACAGTGGCTACACCAGTCTGCATTCCCACCAACATGTACTAGGGTTCCCTTTTTCCCACATCCTCCCTAACACTTGTCATTTGTTGATTTGTTGATGATAGCCATTCTGATAGGTGTGAGATGGTACCTCATTGTCATTTTGATTTGCACCTCACAGATGATTAGTGACTCAGCATGTTTTCATATGTCTCTTGGTCTTCCCTCTGTCTTCTTTCAAAAAGTATCTATTTAGGTCCGTTGCCCGCATGAGGCTCGCGAGCCGCAGTTTGCCGAGCCGCAGTTTGCTGACCACTGCCCTAGGAGATATATCAGTAAATATATTGCTATATATTTGAGATCTTTGAGATTGTGCTGCCTATGGTTTCTTCTAAGATTTTTATGGTTTCACAACTTACATTTAAGTCTTTTATCAATTTTGAGTTTATTCTTGTGTATGGTGTAAGTTGGTAGTCTAGTTTCATTTTTTTGCATGTACCTGTCCGATTTTCCAAACACCATTTATTGAAGAGACTGTCTTTATTCCATTGTATGCTCTTGCCTCCTTTGTCAAGTATTAATTGAGCAATTACCTAATTATTGCCTTGTAAATTGTGTAAGATATTATTGCCTCTACTAATATTAGTAATAGGCAATCATAGGAAACCAAGCATATTGAAGTATAGTGTAAATAGCCAGGATCTTCATAAGTGTGTCCAATCCCTGGAATATTTGGAGTCAGATTGGAATTCTCTTTTTGAATAGCAGAACTGACTTTTAAAACCTCAGTGTCTGGTGTTTTCTCTTTGGGCAGTGAGTTATTTGGGGCTGGAGAGACCTGGAGCCTCTCTGAAGGGTTCAGCACAGTCCAGATTATTTAATTTTTTATATTTTTATTATGGTAAATATATAACATAAAATTTGCCATTATAACCATTTTTAAACACACAATTCAATGGCATTAATTATATTCACAATATCATGCCACCATCACCATCTTGTTCATTTTTTTAAATTATTTTAGGGCTATTCAGTTTATATAGAGAGAGCAGCAATTTTTAACGAGTGTACCCCAAGAATTTTTTTTTAATCCTCACTGGAGGATTTTTTTTTCCCCACTGATTTTCAGACAGAGTGGAAGGAAGGGAGGGAAGGGCGGGGAAAGAGAAAGAAACATCAATGTGAGAGACATCAGTTGGTTGCCTCCCACATGCACCCCAAGAATATTTTTTCCCATTGATTTCCAGACAGCGTGGACAGAAGGGAGGATTGGGGGGCGGGGGAGAGAGAGAGAACGAGAGAGAGAGAGAGAGAGTGAGAGAGAGAGAGAGAGAGAGAGAGAGAGAGTGTTCCCTCCTGCTCTCGCCCCCCACCACAGCCGGGATTGAACCCACAACCCAGGTATGTGCTCTTAACAGGGAATCAAACCCATTCAATCCCCGGGGCAACATTCTAATTACTGACCAAAATTGGCCAAGGCCAGATCCTTTTTGAGGCCTGGATAATGTTTGTTTTGTCTGTTCTCAGACATGATTACAGAGTGGCCCTGTCTCTGTTGCTGTTGTTAAATCCTGGATGTCAGAAGCTGCTTTTCTCTTTACCAATACCATGTACCCTATTTGTGTTCAGTTCACTCCAAATGTCTCAAAATGTGTTTTTACAATTGGTGTGTTGGAATCAAGATTTAAGCTACACACGTTGCAGTGAATGTTTATGTGTCTTTATCAGTAACAGTTCACCTGTCCTCTTTCTACCCCAAAATGGGTTGGCTAATTGTTTCCTCAGATGTCATTTAACATGTCCCTGGGTTTCTCCTCTTCCCCTTTCCCATAAACTGTTAATTAGGTTAAAGGATTTGTCAGATTGTGTTTTGGGGGGGCAAAAATATTCTATAGTTGTTGCTGTTTCTTGTTGCATCATGTCAGAACTCACATGATATGCAGATGCCTCTTTTGTGATGTTAAGATTTATCAGTTGATTCTGGTGTCAGCTCAATCCTTCATTTATAAAGTTCTTCAGCTTACTTATGGAGTCTTAAATTATCCCCTCGTTAATAAGATCTTTATTAATTGCAAAAGGGAGAAGGGGTAACCCCATCAATCTTTGAGAGGCTCCTTGCTTTCTGGTATAAGATGTTCCAAGATCATCGTGAACATCTCCTGTTTTACATTAGACTCAGCTATTTCCAAAATGAGTCCTGGTTTCTCTCATAGGCAAATGGCATTTAGAAGCATTTTGACACTAGAGGGGCTCATTGCTCTTGAGTTGTTACTGACTCTAGGCATTTTTTCGTGGTTCAGTTTAGGAAAAAGTTTTAAAAAAAATAAATAATATATATATACTATATTCCCAATTCCTAATTGTTCTTGGATAGGGAGATAAAATCTTAAGAGCAAACTGTGTGTATGTATATGTGCCTGTGTGTGTGGTTACTCTGCAGCTAGTGTGAGGAAGTTGCAGGTCTGTAACTGTTGACTGTCAGGCATAGACTCTCATGGTTTCTTTCTTTTTCTCTAGCTCTGCTTGCTCAGAACTCTGCCAGGTGAGGAGGGAGACACAGAAAGGGAAGAATGGGTGCAGGATTGCTGACATCTTGGTCACAGGTATGTGGGAAATTATACTCTTTCCAAAAAAACAACAACAAAAAACACAAAACATTGCTGTCCCCAAAAGACACATCTCTTGCCCATGACCCACAGCTTCCCAGTCCTACTGGGCCGGCCTCGGGCTTCCCCAGTTCTCTGGGCTTCTTAGAATGGGAGAGCAAATGCCTTAGGAAAGGCTTCTATTACTACAACATTTGTTAATGTTTTTCCAGATAGTCCTCCAGATTGAGTATGTTTTATATACTGTGGGGTGCTATGAAGGAAAAGAGAGATTTTTCACTAGAGGAAACATTTGTTCATTTTCCAAATATGTTTTCTCATCCTGTTGTACACTCATTCTGTACTAGATCTTGAATAAGATTGTAAGAGTCCTCAGAATCTAAGTGTGGAAATACCTAGTTAACTGTGTGTTAGAAAAGCTGGTCAAACCATGAGCTTGAATGAGATGGTCCAGGGAGTGAGAGTGAGAGAGGAGAGTTCCAAGAACTGAGCTCTGGGGCAGACCATGAGAGGCTTCCAAAGCATGTCTGAGCTTCCAATGCACTGAGTCTCCTTCCCCAGTCCTGGAAGCCTCTCTCACCATTCTTGTGGCTCAGTGGATGAAAAATGGTTGGCTAAGGCAGAATGTGTGTGATGTTTCAGGACTTGGTGACCTTTGAGGAAGTAGCAGTGGACTTCTCCCAGGAGGAGTGGGCACTCCTGAACTCTGCTCAGAAAATCCTGTACAGAGATGTGATGATGGAGAACTTTAAGAACCTGGCCTCTGTGGGTAAGATTGGCCTCATTTATTCATCTCTACATGCAGCAAATAGTTTATCATATATTATGTTCCAGGATCTGTGAAAAGAATAACAAGTTCTGCCAGGTGTGGCTCAGTTGCTTGAGTGTCCTCCCATGCACCAAAGGTTGCCGGTTTGATTCCTGGGTTTTAGGTTTGATCCCCAGTAGGAGGTAGCTGATCAATGTTTTGCTTTCACATCCATGTTTCTCTCTCTCTCCCTCTCTCTCTAAAACTCAATTAAAAAAATCTTTTTTAAAAATAAGAAAAGAATAACTATGTGGTGAACCCCAAATGGGTGGTTCCTGCTCTTATGGGGCAGTCTCATGGCTTCCCATGAAAATACACTGAATTCATTTTCTCTATCATTAAAAGATAAGGTAATTTGCATTGTATATCTGATCTTGGCCTTGGATTTCAAGGGTCAGTCCCATAAGAGACATGGAATATGGTGTTTGTTTTGGGGTCCTGTGAAAGCTCTCTGATCTGATCTGTTTTGCTGCTCCTAAAGTTGCACTTGCCACTTCAGACCAGAGTATTGGAATCAGTTTTATGGAAGGATTTCTTGCCTCCTTCTCAGTGCTCCAAAATCACACCTTTTTCATTAGCAGGGTATCAGCTCTGCAAATACAGTCTTATCACTGGGGTGGAGCAGTAAGAACTGAGGCCAGGGAAGAAAAGAATTCTCCAAGGGGCCTGTTCAGGTGAGCCCCAAGCAGAAGGGAGTCATTGTGTGGAGCAGCCATAACTGGTGGTGCATTTCAGAATGTCAGTATGGGAAAAGGACGCTGAGGCCATTTTGTGGGCTTTCCTTCTTTCAACATATTTCCATTCATTCCTGTTCTGATTTGATCTCAGAAATACTTTTAATTCCTCTTTCTTTAAAAAAAAAATATTTTTTTTATGTATTTCAGAGAGGAAGGGAAAGGGAGAGAGAGACAGAAACTAATGATGATGACAAAGAATCATTGATCAACTGCCTCCTGCACACCCCACCCTGGGGATTGAGCCCCCAACACAGGCATATGCCCTGAGAACCTTGACCTCCTGCTTCATAGGTCCACACTCAACCATTGAGCCATGCTAGCCGGGCTTGATTTCTCTTTCAATTTCACATTTCCTTGAATAATTTCTGTTCAGTCCTCCCTACTTTGCTTTCCAGGTAATACCCTCTCTTATTGTCTCAAACCTCCAGAATCCTTTCTAAGTAAAATACCTCCCATTTGCATTGCTTGTTCCTGTCAGTTACTCTGGTCATTGATTTCATCTTCTCTTTCACATTTTTCTTTCTATATTTAGTGTTATTATTTGAAAACAAATCCACAGAGTATTTACCTTATTTTTTCTTTCATCCCTACTTTTTTCTCCCAATAGTTATAAAAATTTTCCTCCTTCAGTTTCAGGCTGGGCTACTCAACTTAAATCAAAACATTCAATTCCTATGCAGAATGTTCCTGAGGAAAAAACTTCTAATGGCATAAAAATGGTAAGATTTACTAGGGATGGCTTTTTATATTATGAGAAGTCTGTAAATTTCAGTAAATTAAAACAGCAGCAGCACCCATACAAGGAGAGGCAGTTGAAGCAAGTGGCAGAGAGCTGTCTCAGGGAAGACTATGATTCTCACAGAATTTGAGAAATCTCCAATCCTACCTCAATACTTGCTGCCTCACAGTAAGCATCTTCAAAGAGAATACCAAAGAATAAACATTTACTTAAATGTGATTTGTTTTTAATTATTTAATACACTAGAGGCCCGGTGCACAAAAATTTGTGCACTCAGCGGGGAGGGGGGGGTCCCTCAGCCCGGCCTGTGCCCTCTTGCAGTCTGGGACCCCTCAGGAGATAACGACCTGATGGCTTAGGCCTGCTCCCGGGTGGCAGAGGGCAGGCCCAATCCCTAGGTGCAGCCCCTGCTCGGGGTCAGAGCAGGGCCGATTGGGGAGTTGGGGCGCCGCCCCCTGTCATGCACAGAGCACGGCAGATTGGGAGGTTGCGATGCCACCCTCAGTCACACTAAGGGTAGGGTGATTGGGGGGTTGGGGCACCACCCCGTCGTCACACTCAAGGCAGGGTCGATGGGGAGGTTGTGGCACACCCCCCCCCCCGCCCG